GTTGATATGAATATGGGACGTTGGGCTCGGTTCCCAACACGTGGTGATCCACACGAAGAGAAAGGAGCTATTGCTTCAGGGGGAAAAAAAAAAAAGAAAAAAAAAATCAACGAAAAAGAAAAGGATGACACCGACAAATCGAGAAGTGGTCCCGAAGAAAAAAAGAAAGAGAGAAGGAGGGCAGGGGGGAAAGTCCTTCGGGGCCACGGTTCCACTAGCAGGCAGGCGGGTAAGGTATAAGCGTGCAAGATGAGCGCGAGTGTGACACTGCACGGCCATTGGCGATGGCAGATCGCACGGCAGCAAGTTTCTCTTTTTCTTTCTTCTTTTTATGAAAAAAACAACGCTATATTCTTCTGTCGAATCTTTCATCCTCTTTCAAATCTCTCACATTCTTTCAGTTCACCAATTTCGCCTTCACTGACCATCTACCTACCTACCTACCACTACATGCATCCCCTCTGATGGGGCCCTGGAGGGAGACAACAAAAGCTGAATTGTTCGCAGGGGGTCCCCTGTATAAGCCTTAGCAGCAAGAATTTTGATGCGCCTCTTTAATTAATAATGTTAGTTTTTCCTTTCTGTGTTTTCTTTCTTTAAACCACCAGTACTTGGCCCAGCTATCGGCCGCGGCGCTTTCCCAGTAACGCCCGCGCCTTTAGGGCTTCGGGGCACCGGACCAAAATGGCTGGAAGCGCCAGCCAAAACAATTTTGAAACGGTACCCCAGCGCTTCGGCGAAAATTGGCGCCCAGGGGCATTCCAGGCTCGGCATCAATAGCTGGGCCAAGTACTGGTGGTTTAATAATAAGGCGATAAAAAATGCCAAGACGAATTCTTTTCACGGATTTTGATTCGTCCAAGACAGTCACTCCAAAGAAAAATAAAAATCAGGTACTCCAGGAGCTAATTAATTAATAATGTTAGTTTTTCCTTTCTGTGTTTTCTTTTTTTAATAATAAGGCGATCAAAAATGCCAAGACGAATTCTTTTTCTTTTTTTTTTTATGCCGAAAATTGCAATTGATCTGCTTTTCTGCACCTTGCCCCCCCAAAAAATTGGCTCGGTCAATAGCAACCCCCTCTCGTTCTAATCTGAAACAGAAAAAAAAAGGAAAGAAATTCGAAAAACGGGAATGAGAAACCACACTCCCAGCAAACCCTCCTACACAAACATAACCAGATTCAGAGGTGCAGATTTGCACCTCTGCACATTCAGGTGCAGAATTCCTAACGCGCCTACACGTAGTGTTCCCAAAACTGCATTTTTATGATATTAATCCATATAGAATTGGACACTAAAGAAAAGGCTCGAGTCGAGTGAAGAGTGATATAGGTAATGAAATTAATAAGAAATTA